CTGCTCTTGGAAAGGATTGTCATGAATCTACTCTGACAATTAGGATTATTTTATTAAGACGCGTCGATATGTTGCAAACCTGGACGTGCTAGACTATCCACGCACTGCCCCCTAAGACAAAATCACAAAAAAAACCAAACGGGACCGCACCACAGGTGTGGTCTAAAAGGTGCCATTTTGGGCCTCATCTTTTTGGTGTGATGTGGACCACGTTCGGTGGGTCTTTCCACCCTACTCTGCAAACTGAAATGTGTGCATGGCACGCTCTATTTGGGCATGCCAAGAAGCACGTTTTAAATTGGAGCGTGCTTGGCAGGCACGCTTTAAATTGGAGCGTGCTTACCAGGCACGCTCTAAATTAAAGCGTGCCTGCCAGGCACCTCTTTTTTAAAGCGTGCTTAGCAAGCTCACTCTAAACTAAAGCAGGGACGGAAACCCAAACCTCCTGAATGCTCGTAATGGCTTTTTTTTTTTAAATTTATTTAAGATATTTTTACTTATGCAAGGTTTCCATTTTTACTTTAAAGAAGCCTTTTAAGTCTTGTTAGTGCTGAGATTTGTTTTACGTCAACAAAGCTTCCCCGCTATTTTCACAACTATTGATGTAAAAAATGGCAGTGGTACCGTGAAACGGGGTAATTTCGGACACTCGGTGTAATTTCGGACAACTCTGCCCGGAAGCATTGCGAGGGATGCTCCCATCCAACGGCCAACTTGGAGGCTTGTCCCGTTGCGCGCATCGCATCGGCCACATTTAAAAACCATCTGAAAATCCCCCGGGAGGGCAAATCAGGGGCAAACTCCAGGAGAAATAGTGGTTTTTGTTTTTTTACCATTTTTACCTAAATTCGCTTTATGCGTAAAAACTTTGACTGGCAACCGAAACGGGTTCATGGCCGGTTCATGAGGGGATTGTTTGTCGATTCAATCTTTTTAAAGAGCATACTGTGTCAAATTTTCAATCACCTGGGTAAAATAGTTTTTTTTTATATGGGCTTAAAACTAAAAAAAATGCTACTTTACGGGGTAATTTCGGACAAAAAAAACGTCACGCCAGGGAGGGGGGTATGTCCTGAACATTTCCCAATTTCGCAGGGTTTGAGTGGTGGAAGCTGAAGAGCTCTTCTGAAAGTTGAAGATAATCCAATAACAACGATAATCCTCAATTGTTACAGCGGTTTCTTTGTAAACTTCGAATTTCATGAAAATGGGGCAAAGCTACAACTTCATATTTTTTTTTTTTTATGTGCGTGTTCTCCCTTTAGTGTCAACGACTGTTTTGTGATTAATTTTATTTCATGTGAAAATGAGAGTTGGACTTGGCGAATGGCTGCATAGCTCCCCGGGTTTACTATGCAACGCTTTCCCTGAGCCCCTGTATCTTCCTAACCGTACATACGACACGACTACTTGCCTTTCATATGCATGTATGTGATCGTATGTAATCTTGCAGAGGCAGATTTAAGATTCACTTTCGCGTAATAAAGTAGGGCCCCGGGTTTGCCTGTGAAAGCTAATCGGTCAAAAACTAACAAATAGAAGCGTTCTAAATGGCTCTAAGGGAGGGTGGGGCACCATGCCCACTTTTTTTTGTCCCCCCTCTACTCCACCGTGTGGTTCGAACAGTTAAGTTTTCTAGCATGAGGGGATTCTTTGGACCTCCAAGGCCCTCTTCCACCCATTGGAACTTGTCTGCAATGCACGGCAGGCTCACAGAACACTTTGGAAAATAAAACGCAAAGTGGTCATGGTGCCCCACCTATGGGGCACCATGACCACCCCGTGGGGCACCATGACCATAGAAATTTTTTTGGCCCCAAAAAAAGTGTACTTTCTACCAGTATTCTCATTGAAATTGTTTATATCGCTGTCATTACCATCAGGCCACGCAACTAAACTAAAAAACACTGTAAAAACCTTCGAAGTATCAAACGTTCTAAGATGCCTTGAAATGGACGGTTTAAAACAGTTAACGCTCTAAGGCTTTCAAATTTCACATCCAAAGCTATGACATGTGTTGACATTTTAGTTTGTCTTGCTAAGACGAGTCCAAATTCGTATGCAGATTTCAATTTGGAAAAATTTTTAAAAAAATTATCGCGGTTACTACACTGCAAACAAGTGAATTAAATGCTGTTTCTCATAATGCCAGAGCCATCTTGGTGCAAAGTAGCCACGGATCGCCTTCGCGGCCAACTTTTGCGGTTTGGAGCTCATTTAGTGCAAGAGAAACCACCATTTCAAGTCTCAGTTTCAGAACCATTCTTAATCATCTTGGTGATTCACAAATTATCACAAATT